CCCGATTTGCTTTAATTGCGCGCTTATGTTGTTCTTTCAAGCCTTGAGGTCAAGAAAGTACTATCACACCTGTCCTCATGGTTCAAATCTTCGCACCAACTTTTCTGTTTCTAATTCACCTCTACTTCCGTTTTCAGGGTGCTAGTTCGCCAGATATCACCACAGTTTACGTGGATCGAGTTAGTCTTCGAAATGATCGCGTTAATCTCCTTGAACGAGGATCTCCAAATAGTCTCTGTCTTATGGAATCTGGCAAGGTAATTTGTGGGTTTATGTTTCGTAGTTGAATGCTCACCGTTTATAACTGCATTCAGTTCTCACTTTCTCTTCCTAACTTGATTTTTGGGCTACCAAAAGTGTTCCAAGTTCTTTATAATTGTAAAAGAATTTCTTGTTTTAATCCTGGTTTCTACTCACTTCTAATTCTGTTTAGTACTGTCTGAACGCTAGTTAGTCATCTGAAAGGTCTCAAGTTGGTTTTGCCGAATCTAGGCTATTTATTGAGAAAGCGATTTCTTGCACAAGATTAATGGATTGTATTTTAACCGGGTATGGTTTTCTCCGAACTGTCAAGCTAGCTCAATATGTGCTATTCGGAGTGTCATTCCTGTCGAACAACCCGATTCCCTTAATGACATTTCACTTCAAGTGGTGTCATCTCGATATTCTCGCTTGTAGTTATTTATTACTGTGGAATAATAACTTCTAATCGCTTTGGTTATTTTTCTGGCCGTCATCATCTTCATTTTGTTAAATATCAACTTATATTTTATATTGTTGATTGTTTACCACTCCCTTGGCATGTTCTTTAAAGTTTATGAACTATGAACTAATTTGTTAAATGTGTAGATTTGCTATAACGAATAATTAGAAATTGACTTAATGTTTTTAACGTTGCATAGTTACTTGTCACGAGATTCATACTTTGATGGCTACTGTTGATGTAGTCTTACTGTAAAACAGAATTGTGTGACTCCTATCACAGCAAACAAATCATTAGGTGCGTGGCCTTAAATACACACTTCCCGAAGTTTAGCACTTTGATTCCAAATTTCATACCCATTCAAGTACTTTTATTCCTATAAATCAGAGTAATTTTTCTATTAAATGCGAGTAAGATGTGTTGAACTTGACTCTGATCCCCTCTGAACTCTAATTTTGCCGCTTTGGACTTCTTAATTTAATCGGCTAATGCTCTCCGGCAGCGACATTCGACTAACGAATAGTTTCTTAATCTATCCATTATCTTATCGCATTTAGGCTACATTAATGATTAAATAACAATTGGTCTACCTTTGTTCCCACCCAAATTGAATAACGAGATGTCGTCATAAAAGCTCCCACAGGCCCACTTGCGCACATTCATATCCTCTGTTTCACCTTGTATGTTGCCAATGAATTCTGCTATTGCTGCTGCTGCGGCTGCTGCTGTTGTACACTGTGGCTGATGCGATGTGCGAGGTGTATAGTCCACAGCTTGTTTGTTTGAAGAGAATCGCATTATTCGCTTACGTTATCATATAAAGGGAGATCAGTGCGAATTCTATTGGCGTCAGGCTATTCTTTGTAATTTTAAGATATGGGAATCCTTAAGTTGGCATCGGCATTTATTCACGTTCTTGCGTTCTAATTACCACTCCAATTTATTGGATTTTTTACTACATTTTCGATTGCTTCAAATTCGCTATCGGGTTTTTACCATTATAAATTGCCCATCTTTACCGGCTTTGCCTTGATTTCCACAACACTATTATTCAATGCCCATTGCGTTTAGCCCTACCATCTAGGTGGCTAAAACCCATAATCTAGTAGTTAGAATCGCAGTTAGTGGTTTAGTTGATAAGAGTGAGCACATTTTCTTATATGCCGACTTATTTTATTTATTTATATCAAATGGCAGGTGTTTTGATGGTCATGGTAATTTGAAGTCAGAAGTCAACTGCCGATAAATAGACTTTTTCGCCGTATGAGTATACGTTGCCCAGGATGCACCACGTGGAGGTAAGTCTATCGCACACCCCATGGTAACCATCATAAAGTCCGGCACTCGATATAAACAAATATTTCCTAGATGAGTCAGATATAGTGAGCTACAGTTTGAAACTACCACAAAATAGACTCTTTCACTAAGGGTTTTATCTTAATCTTATCCATAGGCATATCCTGCTGCTGTTCAAAATGGAACACTAATCTCTAACCCCCCCCCCCTTCCCCCCAAATTCCAGTAATCATTGGCCTTCGCTTCCCAAAGTCAAATAAGCGCAATAGAAGGGGAGAAGAGTTCGATGCTCAGCTAGATCCATTTCATATGATTAAGATTAACGACACAATCAACAATCAGGTGTGTTTGAGTGTGTTCGCGTATACAAACCAAAAAATTAGGTAGCAAAATACAGTCACTCAAGAAAACATCCGTCATAATGCTCAACAAACCAAGAAGATAGAGTTAAGGGGTAAGAAAGGGTCGTTCAATAATCTAGAATACGGTGGTAGTTGAGGTGAACATCGTTACCCACACACATAAATTAAATTGTACAGGAGGGAAAAGGGGAACAGACGAGACGAGTTCAGTTTGACGGCGCAACAAGGTCTTTGTGTGATAGGACCACAAGAAAAAGAGGACATGAAGAAAAGGAAAGCAGGAATGAGGAGAGGAACCTGAGGAGTACCAGCACCACACATCAGAGGAGCGATTTATGCTTGCAAAGAGAGAGAGAGAGAAGGAAAGTGGGAAGTGTAGAATGGCTTCCTTGAATTGTGATGGAGGGAGAGAGGGAGGGGCAATAGAAGCGTGGATGCTTAGTCGCTGATTGTAGGCTTTGGTGACTTCTCTCCGTCACAAGCTCCAATTAAATCTCTGAAAAGTTTTTGTTGAGCAATTCGAAGAGTTGGCTTGGGCTGGTTACGTTTCAGTTCACCATCCCTGCAAATAAATGGCAACGGAAAAATTATCAGAAAATGTTTAGGTTGTGTGAACTCTCGCGATTATTGACAATAAAAAGTGCTCTTTGTTTCATCTTCCTGATATTGGCTGCTACAGGAAACAAAAAAACACTTCGGCATATTCAACCAAGGAACTAAATAAACCAATCGATATTTTACCAATATTAGTATCCTAATCGTAACCAGTAATCAAATAATCAATTGGCGAAACTTGAACATCGGGGTATTCAAACTAATACATACCACATACAAGGACAAGTATCATTCAATACCTCTATAGTTCCAACGCTTGATAACCTAGCTACAACATCTGCTACCTATTGATCTTTTCACCATTTTATACACCCATGGATTCGTATATTATTCCCTTTATCCAGACAACTCCCAGGTTACTTGTCATATTAGTAATCATTATGAAAAAAAAATATCAGAAGAAAATTATATGACATCCATCCATATCAACCAACAGTCGATACTGAATGTCATAAATGTGAATATACTTGGGAACCGACAGAAAAATGTTGAAATGGATCTGTGTTAATACCAATAGTTATTTCAATTCTATTCAATCTCTAATCTCTTTTTTTCCTTATAGGCTATTTACGTTTGTCAAAAGTCACACGGCAAAGTGATCAAATGAGTTCGTTAATAGCCACTAAGAGAGGTAATAGAATGCAAAATTCTCAATTAGATACTTCAGAACGCTACTCCCCTCCCATGACTGTTGAGTAACACGCTTTTTATCCATAGACTTACGAAATATAATGGATCCAAAAGAACAAAAATGGAAACTGGAATTATTATCTCGTTTGTTTTTCCATTTAGTTCAGGAGAACTTACCATTCCAAATCGACTAAACCACCACAAGTGGCAATCTTCCGTTTGACGCGACTAGAGAAGCTGATGCCATCTTCACCAGGGAGAGCAGTTTCAGGAGGTAGATACCAAACATCAACAACCATTGCCCAGGAGGTC